TATTATTGGAACGGTCGGTTACAAGCAGGGGGCCCTAGGTCCGTTAACCTCGTGACTACCCTGGGGCCCGTTAAACACCCGAGGCAGATAGCCCACTATAAGAAGTCCAATGAAAGCCCAATCTAAAGCCCAACCCCATAAATCTGCAAACACTTCCCAGGGGGTCACCCATCATTTCTGCTACTCCATGGCCAGCACGCTTAACTCTCTTAAAATTCCCCCAAAGTTGCTCCTTCTGAGGATCGAACCCGGGTGGTGTGGTTCGCCAATATATATATATATATATATATATATATATATATATATATATATATATATATATATATATATAAAAGTAATATAAGAGATATATAGAATATACTCATAATACTCCCTTCATCCCAATTTAAATTGCCTATTTTTGTTTATGATATTTGACTGAAGTTATTTTCAAATCACTTTATATGAAAAATTGTGTAGAATTAAAAAAATATAAATTACATATTTAAAAACTATATTAAAAGATCTACAAAACTAGTGGTGACATGATTACATTTGATGGGTATATCCTTATACCCGACCCGGATAACCGAAAGGGACAGGTCAAAACATGACCGGTCACTTTTATCAAGTCACCAAATGATGTTAACTCTTCGATTGGGACGGGTCAAAAGTTGACCGGTCACTTCCACTAAAAAAGTGACCGGTCACACTTTGGGCGTTAGCTTATTCGTCACTTCATGTTACGAAGGATAGTCCAGAGGACCAAAGAGACGGGTCGAACTCAAGAAATGACCGGACAACCTTGGAAGAAAGATGACCAGTAAGGTTGCGTCACTTGGGAATGGCAATCAACATCAAAGGCCAGGGGACCACCCCGCCGTTCGGCCTTCACGAGGCAAATAGTGAAAGGAACATTTGTCACTTTGCAGGGCTGATTGGATTGAGAATATCCATTTATAGTCTTTGATTGAACAGTACATGTCTTGGCTTGTAGTTGCTAAATTCATTGATTGAATAGTAGATTGATTATGTACAGTGACCTTCCCACGGGCTTCCTATTTTGTCCATGGATGAACAGGGAAAGGTCACAAATCCTCCTCTATAAATATGATGATATGGGATAGAGGAGGGGATCCAATTTTTCTCTCACTAAAGTTCACTCTTGAGATAGAGTAAGAAATATAATTCGGACTGAGGAGATTTACCCGCTCTACGTCATACTTTGTGTTCTTGTTGTGTGTTTTATATTACGGGTCGAGTGTGTCTAGGTCAAACCCGGTTAACCCACCCCGCTATATTTACACCATCATTTTTGGCGCCACCCGTGGGACCGATTTTTAAAGTTTTTTCGACCAGGTCAAAACTTTACCCCCACTAAATATCCACAATCATGTCTTCGAGCAACTAGAACGCTGTGTCAAGTCAGGCTGCGAGTGAAAGCACTCCTGCCATCCCATTGATGATGTCAAGCATGGGGACGACCTTTGCTCCAATCACCACTGTAGGATCGATTGGCATGATCCCAATCATGTCAACCCCTACTCCTACGCCAACGACAACAATGTTCCCAGGCTCGATAACAACGCCTGGTGGAGCATTCACACCATACCCGTCAGCTTGGGCTCAGTTTGCTGCTGACCCGGCAAATGCTCAGGCTCTACAGGGCTATCAACAGGTGATGGACATGATGCAACAGGCAGGTGGCTTCATGCCATTTGCCTATCCCGGCATGACGCCACCAATCATGCCACCTCCGGTGTCGACCCCGTCGACATTTATCCCTAGGATGGTCCCTATACATCCGGTGAATTTGACGGGGACTTTGAATGAAGCAGCGCCCTCAAATGTCCATGAAATCAATGAGGCGGAGCAGGAAACGGCCCGCAGGAGGAAGGGTAAGGCTATAGCCAAACCCAGCAAGACTCGAGATTCGGCGTTCAAACGCCTAGGGGACAAAGAGGATGGACCCCGCAAGTCTGCCAAGCTACGTCTTGGTCCTGAGATGGGCCGGACTAGCGCAATGGAAAGACTTGGCGGGAGTCGTCACGCCCAATCTCATCGTTCTAGGGAATCTGAGACGATTCACCAAGACGAGGAGGAAGCAGAAAGCCAGCCAAGGGCGTCGGCATATACCAGACTCTCATACGATGAGGATGACCATGACAAGATAGGGAGCGTAGCAAGGAAACTACATGCCCTGGAGGAAAAGGTGGAAGAGAAGGCGGGAGCGAAAAAGCACACCTTGGCTAAATCTCCCTTTTCGGCCAGGGTACATGCGCAGAGGTTGAGGCGGAAGATTAAGCTGGACGTGGAGAAATTCACAGGAAAGGAGGATCCAAACGTCCACCTTGACACCTTCCACAATGCAGCACAGATGGCCGGGTGCACTGATGCTGAGGAATGCCTACTCTTATTCTCATCATTGAGAGGGAGGCCAGTGGAATGGTTTAACGGTCTTCCCCATGGCAGGATCGGGTCCTTTGAGAAACTTGCCGAAGTTTTCCGCAAAAAGTACTAGGACAATTGCATCAAGAGGAAGAAGTTCACCTACCTTAACACGGTAGGGCAGAAGGAGAAGGAGTCCTTGACTCAATTCTTGACCCGTTGGAGGGATGAGGTCGACAAGGTAGAAGAGATGGACGACAAGACGACCATGTCTTTGCTGATGAATGCCTTCCGGTCGGGTGACCTGTACACCGAATTCTGTAGGAGGCCACCCTCCTCTTACCAAGAAGCCTACAATACGGCATGGGAGTATGCCGATGCGGAGGTCTTGAATAAGAGCAAGCGGGAATTAGAGGAAGGATATAAGAAGGACGACCAGATGGGAGGGTCCAATCTCATGTATAAAATATCTTTTGTAATAGTGATGTATGATCCACTAACTCTGGCATTATCTAAGTGGCCTAACATTGGCACTAAATACTCCATAGACATTGTCCGGAAATAATCTTTCCTTTTTTTTATAAAAAACTTTAACTTGCTTATAATATTTTTCTTTTCTCTCCACCATTTTAACCATGCATTTTAAATTTTCTTAAATATTACTCCCTACCTCCAAAAATATTCATACCATTTGACTTTTCATGATCTCTAAGGTTGCATTTTGCCTATTATTATCTATATTTATACATAGATATATTTTATAAATATTTGATATCTAAAAAAACTACATTTCATTAGGAATACTAGTATCACACCCGTGCGCTGCACGGGTCATTTTTATGTTATTAAATTCAAATCATTTTTCAATGATAAAAAATGAGATGCAATAGAATATAGAGATTATATTATTTTAAGTTACAAAACATCACTGCTTTACAAATTTCGAAAGACTTCTTTATAAACTACATTATTTTAACGATTTGTGGGAATATTGTCTTCATTGCATATCAAAATCTTCAACCCACTACGATTAGTTACTCTTGAAATTGCAACATACATTTGTCCATGACTAAAACATGTTGGATTATTGTTACGAAAACCTGTGATAAACCCTAATTGCTCGTAGCTTCATCATTAACATTGATGACCGCTCATCAACATTTTTAAGAGCAGTTAAGATCCCCATTTGTTGTAGAAATGACAGTTTTGAAACGTATGGGAAAAAATTCACGATGAATGTAATGGCTATGAAAACTTTGTAATTGGATGTATTTATAATATGATTTTTGCACACAAGGTTATCAAAGTGCTATAACGAATTTATATTACTATTACTATACTTAAATTATTTAATTTACTATATTTAAAATTACTATAATTAAAATGACAAGTATAATTTAAATTATTTAAATTATTTAAAATGGCAGGTATATTTAAATTATTGAATTTACTATATTTAAAATTACTATAATTAAAATTACTATTTAAAGGGTTTTATCGTGATAATTTTTTTTTAAACTGTGTTTATAATTATTCTTACCATAATTATATTATACTATAATCATACACACGTTTTTTATATAACCTAGTCACATGATAATTATACAATTATATAATAATGGTAAGAATAATCATACTCACGTTTTTAATAGCATTGATTGGCGTTTAATAAAGTTTATAAATATTTTTATAAATAATTTTTGCCTATTTTATAAATATTTTTTATAACTTACCTTTCTTGCTAGTATAAATTTTTAACACTTTAAAAATGATAGTTAATTATTATAAATATAATATAATAATTATACTTATAAAACGTAAATTTTATATTACTATTATTTCGGAGACTTACCATTTTAACTTCACATAACTATATGTAATGGTCATATTCTTGGGGTGAGAAAACGTAATATTGACTCCATGTCTTTTTAAATAAAGTATGGATACGATAATTATTAGCATATAACTTACCATTTGAACTTCATAATTTCGGCCACTTACCATTTAAACTTCACAATTATTGACTTATGTTTCGGCCATTTTAACTTACCTTTCTTTAATTATTATAAATATAATAATTATAATAATTATTACTATAATTTCGGCAACTTACCATTTTAACCTCACAATTGCCATTTGTAATTGTCATACTCTTTGGGCGGGAAAACCATATGTTGACTCCATGTCTTTTAAAATAAAGTATGGATTTTTGTCATCTTTAAAATTTAAATTCCTAATGTATTTCAATTTTAATTTTTTTATGAATACTTTAATTAGTATTTAATTCCAAAATTGACACTAACCGACCTGACCGAATGTTAAACCGAATCCCAACTGAAAAAATTAATATTCAAAGATGTGGGCCAAAACGCCTTCGTCCGCTCCTATTTCACCTTCCTAGACTAGAAATCTGCAACCGCTCCCTCTTCTCGCGCGTGCGCAACAAACATGAGTACTTTGACATCTTTAAGGGTCATTTGGTCATAATTATTTTTGTTAATATATTAAATTTTATGTCATCTTTAAAATTTAATTTCCTAATGTATTTCAATTTTAATTATTTTATGAATACTTTAATTAGTATTTAATTCCAAAACTGACAGTAACCGACCTGACCGAATGTTAAACCGAATCCGAACTGAAAAAATTAATATTCAAAACCGACCCATCAAAATCAAACCTGAACCCGACCTAAGTTAGATCGAGTTTCAATATACTCAAACTCGATCGAACCCGACCCGTCCTATCCCTGGTAGAGTGTATTAGAAGCAGTCCCGTCCGTATGGTGGGCCCGGGGCCTAAAATTTCCAGGCACTTAATTGCAGTGATATTGCATTCCCCCTCAACGACCACGCATTAATCACCCTGCACATTCAACTACACATGCCTAGCTGCCCGACCGACCTCCCTAGCTATGGGTCCCCACCATCTCTGCCAATTTAAAGACCTTGAGCGAAAAAGAAAATAAGGAGTATATTTTCCGTATTTTTATAAAATGCGCGCGCGCACACACATATATATATATTAAAATTTTAATTGATGTTACTCCCTTCGTCCCTGAGTATTTGTTCATTTTTAATTTTTTTAATCAAAATTGGTAAACTTTGATCTTAAATTAAATAAATATGACATTAGATATTAATACAAAAATATTTTTATTAGATGTATTATATATCAAATATTTTTAAAATATTATTTTATCTAATTAATAAATAAAATATATTTTATTTAATTATAGGTCGTCAAAGATTGAAAATAGTTGATCGAAAAAATCAAAACTGGACAAATACTCAGGGACAAGGTAGTAATGTAGTATGATCAAACCCTTGCGTTGATCAGCAAATTCTTAGATGATTCTAAAGTTCATGTTCATTACATAGGATTTAGTGGATTGAATCATAAAAAAATGGATCCTTTGACAAAAATATCACTTACAAATCCATTAAATTGTGATAGAATCTATATTTCACACGTGGATCTCAAAGACCACACAAAAACTCTTATACTCTAGTTGATCTACATAATATCATCTATTTATTTCATTTAGATAAAATTAATACGGAGTAATAAGAAAGAATCTAGTTGACCGTACTTTAATTGCAAATTGAAATTGTATGTTAACTATTCACAAAGTTAAACTTTAGTTACTTTTTTCTTTATTTTTGTTAGTCATTTGATAAAATAATAATGTCATGTCAGCACTAATTTTGTAGATCTTTTTATGTATGGAGTATTTTAACATGTATTTTCTATTTTTTTAATTCTACACCATTTTTCATATAAAATAATTTGAAAGTAATTTGAGCGAAACATCGTATACTGAAACATGCAATACAAATTGAGATGGAGGGAGTAATAATTTACTATCTCTTTCCTTGAGTATTTATTCTATTTTGAATTTTGCAGTATAACATTTTCAACATTTGACCTATAAAGAAATAAAAATAATATGGTATATTATGTAAAACAATACTTTGAAAATATTTTATAAATTAGATCTAATAAAATTATTTTGTATCAACATTTATTAGCAAATTATTTAAATTAGAATTCGAAGTTTCTAATTTTGAACGTGAAAATCAAAACTGAGTGAATACTCTGAGACGGATGTGGTAAAAATTAAAACAACTTACATTTAACTTATATAAGCTAATTAAAAAAGGAAATGATAAATATTTCAATTAAAACAAGGCTAACACTATATTTGGACGGAGAGAAATTAGAGAAAAAACTTTGGGTAGGGGAAAATGCATTTTCCAATGTTTTTTCTATCTTTTGGATTGAAGAGAAAATGAATATGAAGAGAAAAGCTCCAAGTGGGGAATGGAGAATTTTCTCTCTTAAGGCTATGTGGGGAATGGAGAAAATGAAGAGAAAAGCTCCAAGTGGGGAATGGAGAAAATGAATATGAAGAGAATTTTCATCACTAATCATTCCAAATTAGTAATGATTCAATGTCATACTAGTGTTGATTGCACTTATTTTTTCACTCACTAAACCCTCATAGTGCCACACTTTTCTCGCAATCATTACATAGTTTATAATATTTTTTATATTAATTTATTTTAAATTAAATCTTTCATTAATAAAATAAATAATTTATTTTTATGTTTTCTTATTTCAGTTTTTTTTTTTTCCAAATAATTTTTTTCTTCACTAGTACAAAAACGAGCAAAAGGATTGCCCATTTGAATCGGATACGTAAATATAACCGACTCAAAAGGGAAATAATTTTCATCAATCGTTATGTATTTGAATCAGTTATCCCTAATAACCGATTCCAAAGGTTTTTGAATCGATTATTATGAATAATTGATTCAAATACGTAGCATCTTTTAAATCGGTTATTCGTAATAACCGATTCAAAGACCTTTTGAATCAATCATTACGAATAATTGATTTGAAAGACCATGTTAAATCTGACCACAGGCCACCTTATCCTCTTCGCGATCTTAATACAACCCCGGTCGTCCTCTCCACCTTCTTCGCCGACGAATTCCCTCGCCTTCCCTGGTGCTTTTCCGTCGCCGTTCTCATCTTCATTTCCGTCATACTACCTACCATCGACGTCCTCCACTCTCGTTGCCGATTCCTACACCGTCGTCGTTTACTTCCCACCCCCCCTCCATTCTCGCCACCGCCAAATCTCCCACACACCATCGTCCCCTCCACCGTGTTTGTTCACGCCATCGCCCGCGCCTCCCCGTCCATGCTATCGGCCGCCAAAGCTCGCTCCACCCCTCTCTGCAGGACAATCAAAATGCATATTCTATCTCTTCATCAAAACCATAGTATGAAAACTGAGATTGCTTCTTTTTCTTCTTCATTTTCTTTTTTTGAGTTTTTGTTAGAGGTTTGCTAAGGGGTTTAGGATCTTCTATCCTGTGAGGACAACGAAGTTTGAAGAATTTGATAACCTCGTCTTCATGTGATTCCTGGGGATCTAACGAGTCTTCTTCTTCGAGCCAGCCGAAAGGATTAAATATCCTTCCTTGCTCAAGGATTTTAGCCTTACTCCTCGTAACAATTTTTACGGTGCGTACGTCCTTCTGCCCTTTAGTTCCTTACGGAGATGGAGGGGGTGTTTGGAGCATCTTGAAAAGTCAATTTGCAAAGGTTTAAGCTTCGTGTCTATGAACACAAAATCCTCCCCATCGGAGTGGGTATGGAGAATGGGTCCATCCCTGTCCTTAGCGTGATCTTGCACTTCGTTGATCAGCGATAGTATTAATATATATATTTATATATACACACACACACACACACACATCTATATACATACATACATACATACATACATACATACATACATACATACATACATACATACATACATACATACATATATATATATATATATATATATATATATATATATATATATATATAAGGATTATTAAATTTAAAGAAAAGAAAATGCATATGATCCATTAAATTTAAGATCTAAGGTTAAAAATAAAAAATCAGAAAAAATTAAAAAATCACAGTGTTAATTGTGTATACAAATCAAACTTTTCCGCCGGTGCTGAAAATGCACTACTACAAGTGCATCATGGTGGCCTCAAATTAAAATGCATCATTCTCACGATAGGGTACCACTACAAGAAAAATAGAGTTTAGCCGCATTTAATTTGCCACACTTGACTAAGTGTGGCAATAAAATTTAACACTTAAAGATTCCCCACATTTATAAGAGTTGTTATACATAATTCCATGTATCTACATAATTAAGTGTGCCAAATGAATTATATATACTTAATTTAAGAAAGTGCATTTAACTTATTAATTAAAATAATTACTCTTTAGTAATTTAAATTCTAATAAAATTACTCACGCATCAAAATATCATGTCCCGCTTCTTCTAATTCAGTAAAAAAAACTAATCGCGCCTAACTTTTCATCCTCAGCTCCATTCCGCCCGCCTAATTCTTCATCACCTAAAACAAACAAGATCTGTAAACCTAATCTCGTTCTAGTTCTACTCTCCGGCGCACAGTTAACCTATTCAGTCGCACCTTTCTGCTCTCATCTCGTTCTACTCTCCTGCGCACTTCTCCGTCGGCCTGCATCTTTCTGGCGAAATCTCTCTGGCGCACATCTGAATTAGGTATCGGCCAGCATATTCAGGCTGCATCAGTACTCCATCTTACCATTCAATTCGTTCGGCCTGCGATTCATTCAGGTATTTATTTTCTTTTATGATTAATTTTTCTTCTAATTGATTAATGCCTGAAATTCGAAACCAGGAAATACATGTGCGTGTGTCTGCATATAATTTGTGGATGATGTAACTTTATGCTTTTAGAATTAGAGAGATGTTTCAATAAAATTCATTACCAGTGTGCATAGAGAGGGAGATTTTGGGTTCCTGTTATTTCAGCTATGTTAAATACCAGTGTGCATAGAGAGGGAGAACGGATGTCTAAGGCTATTTTAGTGAGTAAGGCTGGTGTGTATGGGTTTTCTGTATTAAATATTAATCGAAAACACCGGCCTTATCGTTTCAGTAGTCCTTCGTTCCTCATTATCTTAGCAATAGTTTGGACTTATCGTTTCAGTTAGGTATTTATTTTCTTTGATGTATGATCTGGAAAAGGGACTAGAATTTTATTAAACCCAAGGATAAATTTCGTGACATACGCTTTAAGCATCAAAAGCAAAGCTTAAAAAAGAAACCCTTACTGTCGTTTTAATCACAGGTCCATGTGTATAGATACACCCCTTCTACACTCCCTTTACAAGCCTTAAAAAAACATGTCAATTGTAAATAACTAGAACCCAAATGCCTGCCCAAAAAGAATCCCTGCCAGGGAACTGAGAAAGTTGTTCCATCCCTGCACCTAAATGACACAGTTAGTGGAATTAGACATTGTCCTCCATAAGGTCTCAACACACCATTGTTATTTTGAGTAGGAAACATTGTCTCTAAACAAACAACATCACAGTTAATGTTTTGAAAAAGTTCTAAAGAATTCTAGCATCTGTGATACAAATGAATTTCCTAATAAATCACACTCTGTATACATAAGGATTTCATTGACGCAAAGGGGTTTGAGAAAACTTGACTTGGATCCCCATGGCTTATTGCCATGAATGAGTTATGTTGAAGTTCCATGAGAGTTTCTGAGCTAGGTATTAATAAGAACAAATAGTTTTTGTTTATAGTCATAGGCCCTTCACTGAGAAACCGTGATCCAAAACATAGTTGATTGTTGCACCCAACAACAACAAATCTATATAATTCGAACTCTGTTAGGTTATGGGGTCAAGATGTAGTCTGTTATCCCTGTAAAAAAGCAAGAAGACATACTCTTATTGCTGGATTTACTATTCAAAATTTCATTGAAGGTGAGAAACAAGCGATGTTTAATATTTTAAGTACACCCTCTGTCTCCAAATGAACTTTAGAGGTACTGTTATCCTCTTTCCTTACATATTTTTGTCATTGTCAATTTTTAAGCAAAACAGTCAAGTTACATATTGTTTTGTAGAACTTTTGTTGTAGTTTAAACATATGCTTATTTTTTCAATAAAGATTTGCTATCCATGGGTCAAGTTTATTTAGGGGCGAAGAGAGTATGTCTTAATCTCCTGATTGATTGACATCTCTTCTCTTATACAGAGGGGATCAATAAATGTTGTTCCTACATTTTTCTTAATTTGTTTAACATAGAAATAAAGACTCTGGCACTGTTTTAAATGCTATCATGCTGCGAAACTGATTTTCAATTTTCTGCATATAAAAAGTTTTAGAAAGTATTAGATAAACACAAGTATTTTGTTTTTTATGCTTCCCAAGATATACGGCAGTGTATATATTGGTGTGGACACCACCTTCATCTAGAGTCTTTACAAAGAACGTAATGCGTGCATGATTTTTTATACGTTGGACAATGATTTTAAAATATATGATGTTTAAAGTGCGATGGTAAATATGTATTATGTAGTAGTGTACCTCTAATTTATTATCATCTTAGTATAAATGTAACATACATGGTTTATTCATTTATATTTTTATTTTTTAGGTTATAACATTGTTTGAAATGGATAAGAGTTGGATTCATATGAATAGAACATCGACACAATATATAGGTGGTGTTCAAGCGTTCCTCGATTTTGCTTTTGCAAATGCTCCAAACAGTAATGTGATTGTTTGCCCTTGCAATCGTTGTAAAATTGGGCGTAATCGCTATTTTAATAGAGATGAAGTGACAGAACACCTCATGTTTAATGAGTTTTGGCCTAAGTACACAAAATGGGTGCATCATGGGGAACCAATTTCGACTATAATGGGTATCCGTAATCTTTGATGTGTCTATTTATACTTGCGTACCAATTTTTTTGTTTAATTTTTATGTGATAGAGATTTAATTCAAATATGCTGTTTGGACTTTGCAGATGTCAAGCAAAGATAACACAAGAAAAGATGGTAAATCTTTCTTGTAAATTGAAGTCAGAGCTATGTATAAGATATATAGTAGATCAAAGATAAATCGATTTGGCATGGCATGGCTGACTTGGCAGGGCTTGTGGGAATTTGATGAAGACACTATTGTTAGAGAGCATATCATATAACAATATAATGACTCTATTGCATTTCTTTTAAATTTTTTTGGAACTCATTATTAGAGGATCAATTGATGTTGGAACTCACTATTTATTTTGACACTAGATTTTTGATACTCCCTTTGGAATTATAATTTGATGATGGCTTAGTTTTTGTATTTCCATCATTTTCAAATTGAGTTAATTTAAAATTTAGTTGCCTTGAGTTTTTATATATATATATATATATATATATATATATATATATATATATATATATAAATGTTTGAAAAACCCCGCCAAAGTTGACTTTTAAAAGTTTGCAGTTGTGATTAGCCACACATATTTATGTGCATACTGTATTTTTATTTTTTTCCAAACAATTAAAATTGCCGCATTTACATGTGCGGGTACGTTGGAAACACTTACAAATGTGGCAAACGAAAATATTAGCAACACTTATAAGTGTGCTTAATGTAGTAATTTGCCACACTTATTTTATGTGTGTC